CACTCTGTCCTCTAGGGGCGCTGTGGGTCAGAATGGACTCCACGGCAGTGGGTGTGGTTTGGGCTTTGCTTCTGTGAAGACTGACAGCCTGGGAACCCTGTGGTGCAGTTCCACTCTGTCCTCTAGGGGCGCTGTGGGTCAGAATGGACTCCAGGCAGGGGGTTGGCTGGGTTTCAATAGTAAGAAAATTGTGCCCTGAACAGAACTGGTTCCACACATCACCATCTCAAAAAGTTCTCTTAATTAAGCTTTGCCAACACCTTGCTTAGAGCCATCGGTGAGAGCCTGCTTGTGGCCGTCCACCTGTGCTGACCACAGCCTGAGTGACCTGAGTCTCACTTCAGGGGCACGACAGCTCTGAGGGGGGAGGCGTGCGTGCCGGCAGGGGCACTTCAGGGGCACGACAGCTCTGGGGGGGAGGCGTGCGTGCCGGCAGGGGCACCCACCTGCTGTGAGCGCGAGCTGATGCTGCTGCGGCCGCTGCACGTGCTCTGCCCCGAGTGCTTACTGTGGACGCTGCGCCTGTCCCCCTCGTCCCCATATGGGTCTCGGTGCAGCTCTGGGTCCTCCTCAAAGCTTGATGTGAAGCGGGGGTCATACCTCCAGGGGTCGCTGTCCCGCTCAGGTCTAGAGGTGGCATGGGACAGCAACAGAGACCGAGGTGTGGGTGTAGCCTGGGGCAGCAACCCTTGCTGCCTTCTAGTGCCCCCACCCTCCAGCATCAGGACATCAACCACGAAAACCACCCCCGCCAGAGGGAAGGTGGACACATGTCCAAGTCCTAGGATGTCAGGCCTGAGGGCCAGACTCCTGGGATGCACCACCTCAGAGAAACAAGTGGTAGTTTCCTTCCGTGGTGGCCTCATCCCTGGACGAGCTAGCACTCCCAGCTCCCCTCGACAGCCCAGGTGGGGCCCGTTCACCGTTCCTCTCTCAGAGGCTGACCAGCACCAGGGAACTGCTCTCAGGCCCCGGGACAGTGGCAGCTCTTTGGCGCGTCACCGAGACAGAAGACGGAGAAGCACCTCTGCTCTCCTGCAAATCTCACCCAGGGCCCAAATCACCAAGGCGGCCCTGTGTGCACACAGCCCTTTCAAGCCACCAACCTGTCACTGTACGTGTATGGCTCTTTTCGGTACGGGTTGTACTCGGCATCGTACCAGCACCTCTGGCCATAGGAATGGGCATTCCTGATTGGAGAGCCATAGTGGTAACCATCCCAGTGGCCTGGGTCTACACGCAAAGGGTTAACTGGTTAGTATGACAACACACAAAAGAAATGTGCCTTGGTGCCCCATAAAGACGCTGTACCACCCTGGGACTTAGGAAGCCTTCAAAGACTCGCAGAGGAGCCAAAGTCCCTGCAGAAGGCTGACAGGCCACTGGGGGTGAGCGCCACGGCCCCAGGGGCTGGGACTGCATGGCGGCTAGCCGCTGACCCGACCTACCTCCGTAGTCACACTGGTTGGAGTAGTAGCTTGCATAGTAGTCACTCCGACTGCTCCACCCGCCTTTGGAGCTATAGTATCCTTCAGGGTAACCCTGCCTGAAACACACACCGGGCCGTGAACCGACACCAGGGACCAGCAAGACGCCAATCCCAGAGACAAGCAGCACTCGCCTGCCCGTAGGGGCGGGGCATCTACCAGAAGGTCCGAGAGGGCAGCGACAGGACGAGACAAGGTGCCGCTGCCCCCAGGAGTGCCCTGGAGCTGTGCCCAAGGTGACGACGTCTCTGCACCCCCAGGGCTACACTCAAAGCAGGCAGGCTGCCACCCCCCCCCACAGGGCCACATGTGCCTGGTGGGCAACACAGCTGGCAGGCCTACCTCTGCATCCGGGATCAAAGCAGGGGGGGAAAGTGGCTAACAAGCCGCTGGAGGTGGAGCTCCACTGAGAGGACCGAGAGCTTCAGCCCATGGGCCCAGAAATGCTAGGCCCAGCATGGCCCTGGGCACCACAGACCCCATCCTCAATTTACCCAAGATTCAGTGGACAAAATGGGACTTTTCTCGCACCCCCTCCAGCAGTCACAGAGTCACGCCCTGAGGCTCCAGCCCGCCAGGCCCTTCTAGCCTCGCTGCATCTGCAGAGTGCGTCCATCTGCGTCTGGCTGCTGCTGGGCTCTGGCAAACACCCCAACACAGTGCAAACCTAGAACTGCAGCCCACCGCCAGCCGAGGGCAATTTCATCAACCTCTTCCCGTCAGGAAAGGGCCATTCATGCAAACAAGCTACACTACCCCATGCAGCTTCCACACCTGACCGCACCAGGTGCAGAAAGAGGCCAGCAGAGAATGTGGCGGTGAGACAGACCCACATGCACACGCATGTATGTGTCCCCCCACCTGCCCACCCAGAAAGATTCCTAGGATGGTGCACACACTCAGAACACAGCTGAGCGGGGAGGAGAGGCCTCGGACACGCCAGAATCACTCCCCCGTAACCTGACCACTACTGCTAAGATGGCCTCACACCATCAAGGTGCCAGCTCTGGTCTTCCGAGAGCAGCTCCTACGGTCACCTGTGGGTTGGCAGGTGGCGAGAAAACAGGAATGGCCAGCAGAGCCTCTGAGCTCTGCCCTCCTGCCCTCAGGACGTGAAAATGCTTCTGCCCACCACCCTTGCCATCTGTTCTGAACCTGATGCCAAGTGTCACCTCAAGCCCACGTCCCAGGGACTCACGACCCACGACCCAGAGATGGGCAGAAGCTGAGACGCCACTACTTTCTCACACTGAGAGCTTCTTGAGAGGGAAAAGCCTGCCAGTATGGCACGTGTCCCAACATTCGTCACACGCTGTTCAGCCTGTCCCCTAAGCAGGGTACACTGTGGCCAGCCATGTGCACAAGGGTGTGGAATACACAGAGCCTCCTGCCGTCAGCTCAGCGTGAGGAGCACAGCTTCTGAAGCAACGTGCACGCGCACAGCTCTCAGGACCAGCACTCTCTGTGAGTGCGTTGAGGGAGCAACCCCACACGTGAGGCGCACACCAGCCCCTCCCCTGGACAGAGTGACTACAGGTGACGGCTGGCAGAGACAAACCCAGCTGAGGGCAGCCACATAGCTGCTACTTCATCTCGACTCCAGCAACTCCTTGGAGTGGCACCAAAACCAGAAACAGGCTCTTAGCTCAAGGAGGGCCCGAAAGGCTGACCTGCTCAAAAGGTGCTCGACTCAATGCACATCAACGGCTGTGTTAAAGCCCTTCCCAGCTGCACAACACAGGTGGGCACGGTGAGTGTCAACGAGCGTGGCGGACAAGTCTGTCCACCTCTGTTCAGAGAACAAGGGCAGCAGGGCAGCCCACATGGGTGCCAGGTCACTGGGAGCCAGGCCAGGGGTGGGCTGACTGTCCACAGCAGTGCATAGGGGGTCCATTGAAAAACTAAACTTGTCCCACTGACGAGTGAAAAGCTGGGAAGAGGCTTGACTACTATACACAGTCCCCAACTTATAACATCCTTGAGTTACAATGAACTGCACTTGTGACCGTCAGTGTATCTGGAACTCTGCATCTCCCTGGGAGGAAGTCACGGGAAAACGCATGCAGGTGACGTGGAAAACATCAGAGTTAATGGGAACACACTTCAAGCATTTGGTCAGGACAAGATGATGGATGAGATCGGGGGGACACTGTCCACATGGCAAGGCGGCCGCCTTCAGCGACTGCTGTCACTGCCACGATGCAGATCTGAAGCAGGGAGCTGACAGGTCAAGACCAAACGCATTTTGAAGAGGAAAGATGCTGAGGAGTAACAAGGAAGAGGAAGGAGGGAAGCTGTCGAAAACCCTTACGTGGAAGCACTGGCTGGAGCTTTTTCTGAGCTCAGTCAGAGGCTTGAGCTGCTTCCAAACCTGAACCTGAACCGGCCACTGGGTTAACGCTGACAGGCAGATTCAAGGGGCAGTGAGATGTGACCATAGAACAGATGAAGAACAAAAGACAAGGACCATACAGATGCCGCTCATTGAATTCCTGACTAAAAACGCCATTCCCACTCCCAGGGATAATCCAGAACATTCCACATGTGGCGTTACTACTGAGCTGACGAACCACCAATGTCATCCAACATCGCTGGAAGTGTTCACGATTTATGTTTCCTATGTTATTTATGTATGTACCAAAACGTAGCCCTAAGCTTATATGCAGTGTTTCCCCATCCCTAAAGACAAGTGTTTCCCCCTTCCTCAAAGACAAAGATCGTGTTGATAAAAAGATGCTGATAACAAAAGGCGGTGATCAGGTGATCATGGTGATTAGATGTTTCCTCATGTTATTTGTGTATGTACCAAAATGTAGCTTTAAGCTTATACAAGGTTCCCATCCCTGAAGACAAAGATCCCATCCCATTGATAAAGATACTGACAAAAGGCGGTGATAGTCAGAAACAAAGAATACAATTCAGGAAAAGAAAAGCAATAATGATCAAATAAAAACAAAAAACCCAGGTATTCAGCATACTTTAGAAGTGACTTACTTAAGCTGGACACTCCCTTCACTTTACAAAGAGCACTCTGAGGTCCCCAAGGCCCCGCCCGCCACCCAGCAACACACGCATCTCTTGGGAGAGACCCTCGAGGCATGCAGCTCTAACCTGGGTGCTGGCCGGTCAGAGCAGTGGCTGGCTCTTGAGCTGGGCCGCTCAGGCTCGGGGCAGCGGTAGTCAGTATAGGCAGATGGGGTGCTGTCGTAGGGCCTGTATAAGCTGTAGGAGTCCTGTCAGGAAAAGGTTAGTGAGCATCCAATTCACACACAAAACACACTGGGGCAGAGACCCCTCCCCAAAGCCAGACAGACTGGCCCTAACTAAAACACAACCCTGGCGTGTGAGGCACCCCAAGGCCAGGCAGGTGGCAGGACTGCCCTCAAGCTGCCTGCAGAGGGCCAGCAGGCCACACCCGGAGCCCTGCAGTTTCACAGGGATGACCTCACGGTTCCTGTGTTTCTTAACATGCAGGTCTTGCCTGAGGACAAAGGGTCTGGAGTTCCGCCCAAACAGGCCCTAAGCCCCTCAACGAGAGAATCCCAGGCACATGCTCATTGCCATCACATGCTCATCAGCCACCTCAACTGGCTGGAGGCGCAGTCCGAGCACAGGCCGAGGTCTGAGGACCGGAGTGGTGACCCTTCCTGTCCAAAGGCTCAGCCTGTGACTACCTGAGTGTGAAACTGAGGCAATGTGCACCTGCTCCTGACCGCTACCAGGGATGCCCGTGAGAGGGACACAAGGCAGAGCCGAGTAAGGACACAGGGTGAGGGGCTCTCCCTGCAGGGCCCGCCACCTGTGGTCACATAATTGCTCCTCTTATGGAATGAGAACCCACAGGGGCTTCTTTCAGAACTCAGACCACAGGGAGCTTGAGCGTGAGCTGCGTAGCTGCTCCCACGCACACAGCTGAAGGCATCCAAGAGGCCCCTCAAGAGCAAGGCCGGTCCTCCAGCACCGCAGCAGACAGTTTCACAGCCCAGCCTACAAGGGACCTGCTTCCCGGGCCGACTGGACTGCAACGCTTTCTGGCACCTTCGGGTACAGCCTGCTGAGTCTTCCTGCATCTAGGCAGCCATGTGACAGACTGTGGGTTTCAGCCTTTGCGCCACATAGGTGACACTGGATGGAGACTGATATGTGGTAATGAAAGACGGACAATAAACATGTCGCCTGGACCAACGTTCTCAAGGCTGTGCGGCTAAGGACAGCGTTTTCACAGTGTCCCTGCACTCGTGTCCTGCAACGACAGCACCGGGCATCCTCTCCCCTCTGCTCTACGGAGAAGCCTGCGGAACCGACTTTCTCTCAGCTGCCTCCGCTGGACAGCACTTCAGAAAAAAAGCACAACTTTCCTCTCCAGACACTCTTCTGAAGAAGGGGCTGAAGCAGGCACAGGGGACACTGCTGTTTCCTGCACTGGCTGTTGACCACCAATGCTGCCAAGGCTACGCCTGTCCACACGCTGCACCAGAGCCTGCTCCTGCAGGGTGAGCCAGGGGCCACAGGCAACAGGGCATTTGCTTCGCCATATTAAGCTGGGAGATGCTAGGTTAAGGAGGTCAGCAACTGTGTCTGTGACCTGCAATGCTGGAGGGCATGGTGTACCTCCCAGGATGGTATGCACTCAGCAGTGCAGTTTTCATGAACCACTGCGTGGAAACGATCTTTGGAAAGGATGGGCCAGAGGACCAGGGGCTGATTCCAAATTAACCAAACACACCATTACCAAAAAGCACCCACGAGAAAGAACCCCACTGTCGAGAGCCAAGAGCTACATGGGTTAGGACGCAGGAAGGCTCCACCCACCTGGTAGTAGAAGGGTGCCGTCCCGGGCTCTGGCGGGTATGGCGAGTGGTACTGGGTAGGGTACCCGTCGTAGAAGGACCTATAATAGTAGTAGGATGGCAGGTCCGGAGGTGGCGGAGGCAGCCACTGTGGCTCCGACCGCCCAGCTGCCTGGCTCAAGCTGCTTGAGGTGACGGATGCACCGGAGGACCCAGGTGGCCAAGGCAGCACCTGCTGGCCTGTGTCTGCCAGAGCTGGGCTTGTTGATGGCTGGGTGGAGCTGTGGGCCTGGCCTGGTACCGGTGGGCTTTCTGGGCTGGAAGATTCTGGCAATGCTGATCTGGGCAGCGTTGGTCCCACAACCTGTTGCTGTGGAGGCCCTGACTCTGGCTGGGCTCTCTCTGGGCCCTTCTGGTCCTGGGCTGCTCTTGTCACCAGTGGCTGGATATCGTCTGGGTTATGAGTCCCAGGCCCAGGCTGTCTGGGGTGGCTGGCGACAGTCTGCTGAGTGGTAGCTGGGCTGTCAGAACGGGAGGGACTACATACTCTCACAGGATTTCCCACAGTCCTGTTAAAGGTAAAGTCTAGGGCTCCAGAAGTTTCTTCCCGGCTGCTGTTCCCTATGGGGCTGCCAGCAAAAGCAGGAGGCGCACTCTCCGCATCACGGCTGCTTTGGCTTTCAGAAGCCATGTTCGCTGGGACTGGATAGGGCAGTGGTTGGACCAGCACAGCGGCCGGCTGACCGGCAACCATGTCAGCAGCAGAACCTGGAAAACCACCCTGGACGAGACTGGTGGGGGCAGGCAGGCTGACTGGGGCACCAGGTGGAAGCCCCAACACGGAAGCACTTTCTCCAGACTCACCACAGGGAGCCCCGCTGCCAAGAGGGTCCCTCTGGGGCGGATCCTTGTCATTACGACTCGACAAGGACACAGGAAAATTAATGGGCTGAGCCAGATTACAGCTCTGATCAGGCTGGGTGACCAGGAGCGGCTGGCTGGGCAGGGACTCCGTGGGCGGTGAGGAGAGCAAACTGGCATAGCCGGAATTTGCCTGAGGCTGGACAGCCTCCTCCTCTCCTATCTTGGGAGGATTCTCGAGGTTTTCAGACACACCAATACTGTCTCGGTTGGGCAGGGGGGACACAGAGGCCAGCTTGTGTGGCTGCTGCCCACAGACACCCTCATCAGGGGGCTGGATCACTTCTGAAGCCTGAGGTTTAGCAGGGACACAGAGCGCAGGGGCAGCCGGGGCCAGGAGGACACTGCTCCCAAAGTCTGGAAGTTCGCTCTGTGCCCACAAGGTGGTAGCTGGGCTCTCGCACTTCACAGCCCCCTGAGCCCTGGTCGAAGGCCTTTTCTCAGGTGTCGGGAGCCTGGTTTCTGATGGTGGCCTCCCGGCGTGTGAAAGCACATGGCTAGTTTCTGCAGCACTCAGGGGCACTGGACAAGTCGGGGGCGTGAAGAGGGTCTCCATGTTGTCAGGAGGCTGCTCCAGGTTGCCAGGGGAGGCATCAGGCAGGGTGGCTGCTGGTCGCCGCTTCTTCTGGCAGGCACGGCCGCCCCCTACTTCACCCACTACGTTGGCGCGATCTGCCTCAACCGGCTTCACCCCAATAAAGTGAGATTTCACTGGCTCAAAACAGCTGTTTGCACTTGTCTGAAATACCCCCGTGGGCTTCGGGGGACTTGGGGTTGAGGGCTGGGAGAGACCGTGACGGTAATTCTGGCTTGCAGGGGTCTCTTCAGTCTCACCTCCCACTGGAGAAGAATCAATCTGTTCAAAGAAGCTTCCTGAGGCTTCTTCCTCAACCTTTCCCACTTCCTGCTGAATAAAAGTGCCCGCCATTTCTTGGGGCCGGCCCGAGCTTGGAAGGCACCGGTGACCTTTGCCACTGTAGCTGGATGATACGCTGTCCGGTGGCCCAGGACGCAAGGGCACATCAGGGGCCTCCAGGTTTGGTCCCCCACCCCCTGCATGGCTCACAACACCCTGTCGGGGAGCAGACGGCCCGGGCAGGGCTCCATACCGGAACAGGTCACCCGGGGAGGAAGGATTCAAAGCCAGGGGCTCACTCGGCAGAACTTCTTGGTTCTGGGCAAATTCCAGGTCCTCGACATTCTCACACTGTGAGCTGAGGGCGCCGTGTGTCCCCGTTCCTGCTGCGTCACCCCACATACTGACAGCTGTGTTCCCAGGGGTCGGCTGATCATGCTGGCTGCCTGCAGACTGAGAAAAACTGGGCTGTGAATCCCCTCCCAGTTGTGCAGTCTTGCCACTGGGACCCTGGAGGGAGGCTTGATGAAGGCCACCTGTGGCCATGTGTGCAGGAGGAAGTGGGTGGCCAAGGCCGGGGCCGAAGCCATCAAAGGCCGCTGGCCCCCCAGAGCCTGCCCTCTCTGCGCTAAGGTTCTCCTCGTTGTCTGCCTCCCCACCGTGGAGGAATACGGGGTGGACTCTGGAGCCAGCTTCCGGCAGGGTCCACACAACCCCTGTCCCCAGGGGGTAGTGCAGGTGGTGGTCAGTGCCGTTTCCCTGAGCAGGGGAGCTAGCAAGAGCAGGGTCTGGTCCGAGCTCTTTACCGCCCCCCGGATTCTGCCTCAACTCCTGGCTCGCCCGAGCCAGACCCACTCTGGGGTTCTGCCTGAATGTGTTCTCGGGATCCAGGTGACTCGTGGAGTGGCTTCCACCCTGCAGACAGGCCATGTCGCTCCTCTCATCCCCAGCCAAGGATCCTGGTACAGGAGTGACGGCGTTGTGCTGCTGCCCACGCCCAGGCCCCTGGTGCCCGCGGGGTGGGGGGGGAAAGTGGGGCGGGCCAGGAGCCCAGGGCCCTGTGCTGTAGCCAGGTCCTTCTGGGCAGGGGGTGTAGTGCTGGCCCGAGGGCCGCGGGCTCCCTTGGACTGGCACCCACGAACCCGGTGTGTGCAGAGGCGGCCGAGGGAACAAGGACGCAGCAGGCAGCGCAGCACCGTCAGGGGGTTTCTGCCTGCTGAGGGGTCTGGCAGGCCCAGGCGCTGTCCCAGAAGGACCATCAGAACCCACTCCTGGAAGATACTGAGGATTCGGCGGGCTCGGAATGTCAGGAGGTAGGCTAGGTCCCATCTCTGCGCTCCTGCTCGCCTCAGGCCCAGGAAGCACCGCAGGGGTCAACCCACCGGAGAACACGCCGGCATCTACTTCAGGCTGCGGGATGGGGCCCAGCACAGGCTCGTGTGGTCCTTGAAAAGGGTCCCCAGCACTTGTGTGAGGTGGAGGCAGAGTGGGGTGCTGAGAAAACGCCGGGGGGGCGGAGCCTTGCATGACGGGCAAGCTGTTTCTGGGCAAGTTGTCCAGGGGTGGATCCTGGGCCACCTGCCTACTAAAAGCAAAAGGGTCCGTCACTGGCTGCAAAGGGCACGTCACAGGAGCCGCCGGCACGCTGCTGGGCACCCTTCTGTACGGGCTGCTTGACCAAAGCACGTTCCTCCGGTTCCCCATGGGAGGGGGCCCCAAGAGTCCCGACGGGGCTGCCTGGGGCGGCGGCTGCATGACTGGACTCCTGTAGAACCAGATGCTGCCGACAGCAAGAGCAGGGTGTCGCTGCTCCTTAATCGGACCTGAAGAAAAAGAACAAATTAGCCCAAAACCTCCACGTTCAAACGTCTAGCTGCAACCAAGAAAACTAAGAAAAAAGAAACAACGGAAAACAATTTCGAGTCATTTAACTGCCGAGGGACTGCGCCATCCACGGAGCTGCTCCAACCCCTGCAGAGCGCCTGGTCCTGGGGCTGCCCGTGGGCACTGGGCAGGGGCCTGAGGTGGGCAGCCCAGAGCCAGCTACTGACTCTGGACAATCGACCCCTTAACACCTGATGGGACGCCCACCACCTGCGGAATGCCCTCCCCAAATCGGAGTACCTGGCCACTCACCGCCAGGTGACACAGTTCCTGCCCATTGTTCCTAAGTTACTTCCGGCTCCAGAGAGAGCCAACCCTGCTCCCAAGGCAGAAAAACTGCATCCTCACACCTCAACAGCCCACGAGGAAAACAAACGCTTAAAAGTCACTCTCTCCTGCCCTTTAAACAAAGAGCACCATGAAGCCCAGAGCATCAGCAAAGCAACCAACTGAAATAGTTCACCCCAAAGGCCTTTCAGCCACCACACCGTCTCATTCCTTGCACTGTGACAGGCCTCAGGATTGAAAATGCCACCAACAGACTACCTCTGACCATGTAAGGTGACACCTGCCGGAGCAACAGCTAGCTATGCCTGGAATGAAAATCCCAAGCAAACTTAAAATAGCTTTAAAACTCACCAACTGAGTTGATTCAAAATTTCAACAAGCAGAGTGTGTCAACCCACCCCCTCCATACAGAAAAGCCACCACAGTAGGCATTTTGTTGCCGTCTCTAACTCCAACGTAAGCACAGTCCTGAACAGCTAATCTGTACTTTTACGGCACAAGTTTGACGAGCTGTTACCTTTGACAAAACCAGATCCAGTGCCATCTAGTCGATTCCAACTCACAGCGCCCCTACCGGACAGAAGAGAACTGCCCTGCAGGCTTTCTGTAAAGCTTTATGGAAGCAGACTGCCACGTTCCTCCCGTGGAGCAACTGGTAGGTTCAAACCACTGAGCAATTTAACTACTGTGTCGCCAGGGTTCCCTACTGGGTCTGCAGAAAGGCCTTTTCCACCTGCCAGTCCTTTCTCCCTCAGCATCCCTGCAGACAATTCAGTTCAACCAACCCAAGAGAAAAGTCAGTACCCAAGGGGGCAGACAGGGGACAGACTCGGAGCTTAATGCACACACTGCCACAGCCGTCTGTCCTGCTGGCCACGGGAACTCTTTCCAACTGTCTAAGCAAAGATGACATTCAGAAAAGCATTCTTAGTAAAGCTATTTGAAAATGCAAGTCCCCTACCTGGCCTTGTGACTAGATTCCTACATTCCAGTCTGGGATGCCCCAAGCACACCCTGTCTTCTGCTGGCAGAGGACCCCTTCCAACTGACAGCACCTTGAAAGTGACAGGAACTTGACAGGCTGCACTGAGAACAGTGTCCAAGCCTTCCTTTGGTGCTACGTCGTCATTTCAAAATAAAGAGTGTTTACAGCTCGTTTCAGATGCCTGAGAACAGAACAGCCAGGCCAGCCTCCCAGCAGCCACTGCTGGGCACCTGTCCCATCCCCTCCAGCAGACCCTGCCACACCTCCACTGCTGGCCAGGGGCTGCGTTCCTCCCAGCAACACCGCTACCAGGAGCCAGAGAGGCACGCACACCTCCTTGCAACGTCTCAGCAGATGCCTCAGCCTTCCTAAGCCACTCTGATCTCAGGAGACTAGTAGACATGCGTATCCGGTGTCGCCAGGTGTGGGGGCCAGGTAGTGACTCAGTGTGTCACAACTCTCTATCTATAAAAGCAAAGAAGAGCTGGGGGACTTGCCTAAGGGACCTTCTATAAGATCCCATTCACAGCGGACTCTGGACAGCCCTCGGCGCTTCTGCTATCAAACAGGCAAAGCTTCATCAGAACCTCAATGTCACAGTTTGATATGTGACTGTTTCCCTTGCAGAAACTTTCTCAACTCTCCTGGACCAAGAAGCATTCTATAAGCAAACACTATTGCTTAACTGCAAATTTAAGCTCCCAATTGCAAGCGACTTAGCAAGAAGCCAATCCTGATTGGAACAGTCTTGTGTTTTCTTTTGCTCTTTTTTTCTACTCAGCAGGCAAGGAGTGCACCTGCACGGCATCTCTCTCTCTACGGGGAACTCGACTGTGGAGGGCGTCATCCCGTAGCCTCAAGTCATCCAACTTTCAAGGAGGCAGACTGTTCCCATGAGACCCACTGACCCGGAAGAGAAACATTCCCAAGGCCACCTCTTCAAAGGCACTGCCCTGCATCTGTGTCAAGTATCCCCGCACACCTTGTTTCACTATCTTTCTGGGTACTTAACGGCGATAATTAAAATATACATGCACCCACGACTCCTCCTGAGGCCGCTGTCCTCAAACTGTGTGTGTCTAACTCAACAGAAGCACCAAGAAACCCCCTGCCTCCAATGTCCCTCACGGTGACTGTGAGGGATGCTGTCAGACAACCGGACACTCGATGAACATGCAAATACAAAGACACCATAGGCTCCAACTTTTCTAAATTCAGAATGTTGATCAAACACACTCTGAGGGTTTAAAGCAAAAGGATAAATGGAAGTACTGCTAAAAATGACATCAGTCCCAGAGGACACCCTGACGCTCATGAAACAAAGTTCTGGGAAGCAACAAGGACTCATGTGAAAATGTGCACACTCCCCTAAGAAATACTTTCTGTACAGCCTCCAGAATCGCTGGAGTAGCTGCCATGACGATGGGTGAGTCACTGTCTTATCTTGCAAGATACCAGCACCCAGAACCTTAAGAAAGGGCAGAGTTTAAAAACCCAGCAACAATGATCGTAAACAACACCACAGGAGTCGCAGTTGTGGAAGCTCCAGGGATGACTGTCTATGATTTCCTGCCATGGCTTCAAGGTGCTCATCCATGGCTGACAAACACCTCTCTGGCTAACACCTGCATCCTACAGACTTAAACCCTCCAGGAGCAATCAGGCTCTAACTACAAGCCACGTGAAGTGCGTGCAAACGGAAGCAGAAAAGCTGATTTCAAAATGGCTTGGATGTGACAAATGCTCCCCTATCACACTTTCATCACAAGAAGGGCTGGATGATCCACTCACCCCTCCAACCCTTAATCCAAAACACAGGCCCAGACCCCTACCTCTTGCAACATCCTGCTCACCTCGTCCTCAGGTTTTAGCAACAGCGCTGCTTCACGGGTCACTATAACTAAGTGAGAACCTTTCAACCGACCAGGACAAACCTCCTGGCAGCTTTCAGAGCAAAGGAAACACCAGTCAGGTAAATATCCTCAGTGCTCCCACCTTCTGAAAAGTTGGAGGCTTGTTCCCAGGTGTCTGGCTTCCTCTCCAGCGATCCTAACCAACTCTAAGGAGCCGCCACCGGCCACCACTGTGAGCCAGCACTCAACAGTCAAGCTTGACGAGCATTTGCCAAGAACCAGTCATATATTTTAGGTCCACGTCAACCTGTGACGGTGAGTCTGTAAGTCAACAAAGGTGCAGAGGGCGAAAGGCGGAACAACACCTCCCCTAAGCTGGGCACAGATCCCAGGCCATGTCCTGAGCCGGTGGGCGGCTCACGGAGCCCGGGGCCGCGGTCAGGCTCCGGAAGAGCCCCGCGCCGGGCATGGCGCCGCGCTGCGGACGGCCTCCCTGACCCGGCCCAGTCGGCACTCGGCAAATGCCCTCCCCAGAGACAGGGACCGCCCGGGCTCGCCCGAGCCTTCCACTCGGCCGGCCCCTCCGCAGCCTCCCTCGGGCCCGCCGGCCTCCCCTCCTCGGCCTCGCGCTCTTCCGCTCACCAGTGCGGGGCAGACCTGCAGACGCCTCTGCCCACTTCTCGGCCGCCCCGCAACAACCCCGGCGCCGGGAAACCTCTCAGGAGCCGCGGGGGAAAGCCCACCCGGCGGCTGCCACTAGCTCAGGGACAGCAGCCATCTTGGCACATCCGGCTCCGGTCGCCGCGCCGCCGACGTGTCCGGCAGCCGCGTCAGCGCGCCCCGCCCCTCGCCTAGCCCCGCCCCTCAGCCTCACTCTGCCCCGCCCCGACGTCTCCCCGCGGTCTCTCGACCCCGCCTTCGTGCCGTCACGCCCCTTTCACGCCCTCGCTCCGCCCCTCGCCTTCGTCCTAGCCATCATCTTGCACCCCCGCCGTCCCGCCCCTCGCCATTGTCCCGACCCCGCGCATCACCGCCTTGTCTCACACCCTCGCTCCTTCCCCGCCTTCGAGCCTCCTCACTTGGCCCTTCCCCCACCCCTTACCTTCGTCGCTTTTTGTCACGCCTTGCGTCCTCGCTCCGCCTCGCCCCCGTGGCCTTTGTCCAGCCCCTCATCTTCGTCCCTTGCCGTCGTCCCGCCCCGCGGCCGCTGCTCCCTAGCCACTGCTCCCGGCCTTGTCCCGCTCC